TTTGTCTCGGATAAAGAAGCTTTATTTGAAGAGGAATGTTCTGAAAAAGCTGGTACGAAGTGTAACACATGTCAATTGAGAGGTTCTCTGAGTTTTTTTGGTAGACATATTGTACTGACTGTTTGCGCTTTTGCATTGCAGCCTGCAGATATCTGGAAACTTGAAAATCTAGTAGAACTGTAAGTAAACTTAAAAAGCAATGAAAAAATAATAAGCTTAATTTTCAGATCTGAGGTCCCAGATTTTCATCTCTGTCATAAACGTGACTTCCATTGTTTTGTTTTTCCTTTGCAGTTACTTGCATTCGAACAACCTTCATCAGCTACCAGATGGTACTAGTACTATAACTTACCATATAGAGGGGAATGGTTATAGCGCCCAGCAAACTTCAAAAGAGCAAACAAAGATGCCAATTTTATGTTGGAAGGTCCACAACCATGTGTGATCTCTTGTTTTGTGCTCATAAACTATGCATGAATGACATGGCCAAAACGTTTCTTAATTGGTTAGTTAGTCAGAAGAAGACACTTTGTGGTGTGCACAGTTAAGGCTAAAAAAGCAAACAAAAAACTTATAACAAAGAACTTTGTCAGGCTCCATCACCATTCCCCTCCATTGACTTTGAACAAACCTGTCCAGGTTGTTTTCTCTAAGTTCCACAGCCAACATGCAAAATGATTTGTTAAACTGCACATGCTTGTGAAAGATACCTAAATGTGGTGTTGCATTAGGCTGTGTTGCAGAAATTGTCTTAATATTTGTAACTGATGACAGCAGACAGGATTTTAATACTACATGCAAATCTTGCATAACCAAATCATGTACATTTGTGTGAAAAATAGCCTGAAAAAAGAACAACTGGCAAATGGGAAAACTCTTTCTTGATGGTTTACAAGTCTCTTAGCTGTGACCATGTTATAAGGAAGGACTGACTTCTCAAATGTGATTGACATCAAAGTCAAGAAATATAGTGGAAATATATATTTCAGAGTGGTCTGTAGTAAAACTTAATTAAAAAGGATTAATCTTTCTTACTTTTTTAACTTTTCATTATTTTTCTAGGAATTGGAAAGATTTTGTCACTTGAAAAGCTAAATGTTTGTAATAACTTCCTTAAGAATCTAACTCCAGCCATTGGTCAACTGAAGTCACTGACATCACTCCATCTCGCAAACAATCAGTTGTCATTTTTGCCCCAAGGTAGGTATGTCAAATAAATCACAATGAACTTGTAACCAACATCAATCGTTTTTTTCCCTTTTAAATCATTTGCCGCAGCTGTAAATTCCCAAGGGGGGGGGGGGGNGACTTCTATATAAAAAGGACAGGGGTGCTTGTCGGAAGTTGTGAAAAGAATCCCTAAGAGGTACCAAGATCCTGTTTAGTGGGTGTGGCTTGAAATTTTTTTCAACCCTTAAGAAGTGCCAATTCTAAAACAACATATGATCTCCTGTCATATTTTTTCAGCTCAATACCCTAAAAGGTATTGCAAAAGCTTGACCACTGTGGACTTTTTGAGACTGAACACCCTTAGAGGTACAGAAACCACTTTTTAACCCCAAAAAGGTATAATGAGCACCCCCATCATTTTTATATGGCGCTTCTCTCCCCCCACCCCCCTCCTCCTGGGTGTAAACTGCTGTACAATTTTGTCCATTCTGTTTTTTTAGAGCTTGGTAATCTCACAAATTTAAGGGATCTTAATGTCATGAATAACAAGCTTGAGTGGTTGCCATGGCAGCTGTGCAAATGTGTATCCCTCAACATTCTTTCATTTGATGGCAATGCAGTTCAGAAGATTCCTCGTCAGTTATTGAGTCATAAAGGACTGAAGGAACTTTACGCAAGTGGGAACAATATTTCCACTTTGCCTCAAGGTAAATTTTAAAACTTTAACTAACTCAATCAGTACTTCCAGAGTTGCAATCGGATGCAGACAGACATTTTTAAGGTTTTTGTAATCTCATAATTTTTATATTTTTCTGTCCTAAATCAATTACATTTGTGGAAATGGTATGTTGTTCTTGACTACCTTTCCAGGGAAGAAATTCACTCTGGCTTCATAGCAGTCAATGAATTGCGAATCATCAGGGCTGTCAATAAGGGCAGTAACCCATAGCACCTGTTACGGCTGAGTATAAATTATATGAAGGGGCCCTTGTTGTTATGGGTGAACTTGCCTGTAGTTGATGCAATTCACTCATGAAGTAAACACTTTGCCATGGGTGTGAAGATCAAGGCTACAGGTGAATTAACACTTAATGTCAGCCCTGAAACGTGATAAGCATTCTCTTGCCAACTGCTGTTATTTGGCTTTACAGATTTGAATCAACTCATCTCATTGGAATCATTAATACTGGATAACAACAGTGAACTTCATCTGTTACCAGCAACACTCCTGAAAATGGAGAATTTAAAGATGATTGGGCTTAGTTGGTACATATTCTTCAATTGTTCCAATTTACTTTAACTGTGAAATTATGACAGGAAAATTATTTGAATAGTCTTTAACCCAGGGGGGTGGGGGGTGGGGGTGGAAAGTGCTCATGCTGACTGTAACTGTAAGCTTTTTCAGTATCTAAGTAAAGGCCATCGTACTTTGCATCCTGTTATGACTTGTCGCCATACATGGAACTTGATGTTTCCATGGAAATGTTATTATCACAGGCATGTTTTTCCAAATTTAGAATTTTCTTGTTTTTGTTATCAAAATCTAACTTTCATGCTGTTATTTTTTTTTATTTCACTTAATAAACATTTTTTTTTTCTTTTTGAGTATCTCCTTTCCCCCTACCACTGAAAGTGGTACAGTGAAACCTGTATTAAGCCAGCCTGAGTCCCTAAATTTTCTTCCCACATTTAATGTAAATTAATAAACCTGCATTCAGTGGACACCTCTGTTAAGTGGGTGCAGACACCAATATAAAGCCATTTTGTTGCACAAAACCTGCAATAAGCAGACACTTCAAGGGCTTTTTACTTCTAAAAGCTCAGTTCAGACTCTTAACGTTGTTCAGTGATGTCGTTTTAAAGCTAAGTAGATTATTTCAGATTGATGCATTGACTGACTGGACACTGTGCTATGAGCAGTCACTGTGTTACACTGTGTTACAAAAGGTTTAATAGTTTATTTATTTATTTTAACTTTATCTATACACGGATAAAACATCAGGACTTAAAGTAAATACTAAAATTGCATTGATTACATTGTTAAGATACTAATCTACTACTAATTAAATCTAATAACAACAAAAATAAAAACAATAACGAAGTGCCTGCTTTCCATGAATTCCGTGTGATTAATTAACTTATTTATTATGAAAAAGGAAACCCCTGCAGCCGGATTTAAAACTAGCAAGAGTTTTTGCTTGCCGCAGATTGGTAGGTAAGCTGTTCCACAGCACCGCACCACTATAGCCGAAACTGTTTTTTAGAAAATTGGTGCGGGGGAGTGGAACAGCTAGTTTGCCCTCACAATTCCTAAGAGAATAGGTAGATATTGCACTCCGATCAGTAAA